ATGAAGTTTAAATAAATTACTCGTTGGAAAGTTAGAAATGATGACCATGTATGTTTATCCTACATAAATATACACTGAGAGTTTGGTTTGGAATTTTTAAACAACACTAAATTGTCTAAAATTATAGATAGCATTTTTTGGAAAATTCAATTTTTTCATAGGGGTTAGCCCACATATTTCAAGAAAAATTAGAAAAAAATTTATTTTTATTTTAATACATATTTTCATCGTGAACTGACATATTATGAATATTAAATAGGTTTGAGACCTTCTGAGTTCCCATTTCTCTATAAAATAGAGATTTTATATGGGTTAGAATACTAATTAAATTGTATATGAAGTTTAAATAAATTACTCGTTAAAAAGTTAAAAAATGAGGACAATGTACCATGAAAATATGTTTAGCCTACATTAATATACATTGAGAGTGTGTTTTGGTATTTTTTTAAACAACACTAAAGTGTCTAAAATTATAGATAGCAATTTTTAGAAAATTCAATTTTTTCATAGGGGTTAGCCCACATATTTCAAGAAAAAATTTGAAAATTTTCTTTTTTGTTTTAATGCATATTTGCATCATGAAATGACATATTATGAATATTAAAGAGGTTTGAGACCTTCTGTGTTCCCATTTCTCTTGAAAATAGAGATTTTTTAGGGGTTAGATTATATTGTATATGAAGTTTAAATAAATTACTCGTTGGAAAGTTAGAAATGATGACCATGTATGTTTATCCTACATAAATATACACTGAGAGTTTGGTTTGGAATTTTTAAACAACACTAAATTGTCTTAAATTATAGATAGCATTTTTTGGAAAATTCAATTTTTTCATAGGGTTAGCCCACATATTTCAAGAAAAATTAGAAAAAAATTTATTTTCATTTTAATACATATTTGCATCGTGAACTGACATATTATGAATATTAAATAGGTTTGAGACATTCTGTGTTCCCATTTCTCTATAAAATATAGATTTTATAGGGGTTAGAATACTAATTAAATTGTATATGAAGATTAAATAAATTAATCGTTAGAAATTTAGAAATGAAGACAATGTACTATGAAAATATGTTTAGCCTACATTAATATAAATTAAGAGTGAAGTTTGGTATTTTTAAACAATACTAAAGTGTCTAAAGTTATAGATAGCATTTTTCGGAAAATTCAATTTTTTCATAGGGGTTAGCCCACATATTTCAAGAAACATTTAGAAATTTTTATTTTTGTTGTAATACATATTTGCATCATGAACTGCCATATTATGAATATTAAAGAGGTTTGAGACATTATTTGTTCTCATTTCTCTGGAAAATAGAGATTTTATAGGGGTTAGATTATATTGTATATGAAGTTTAAATAAAATACTCGTTGGAAAGTTAAAAATGATGACCATGTATGTTTATCTTAAATAAATATACACTGAGAGTTTGGTTTGGAATTTTTAAACAACACTAAAGTGTCTAAAATAATAGATAGCATTTTTTGAAAAAATCAATTTTTTAAAGAAAAATTAGAAATTTTTTTATTTTTATTTTAATATATATTTGCATCATGAACTGACATATTATGAATATTAAATATGTTTGAGAACTTCTGTGTTCTCATTTCTCTATAAAATAGAGATTTTATAGGGGTTAGAATACTAATTATATTGTATATGAAGATTAAATAAATTAATCGTTGGAAAGTTAAAAATGAGGACAATGTACCATGAAAATATGTTTAGCCTACATTAATATACATTGATCGTGTGTTTTGGTATTTTTTAAATAACACTAAAGTGTCTAAAATTAAAGATAGCAGTTTTCGGAAAATTCAATTTTTCATAGGGGTTAGCCCACATATTTCAAGAAAAAATTAGAAAATTTTCATTTTTGTTTTAATACATATTTGCATCATGAACTGACATATTATGAATACTAAAGAGCTTTGAGACCTTTGTGTTCCCATTTCTCTAGAAAATAGAGATTTTATAGGGGTTATAACACTTATTATATTGTATATGTATTTTAAATAAATTACTCGATGGAAAGTTAGAAAAGAAGACCATGTACGTTTATCCTACATAAATATACACTGAGAGTTTGGTTTGGCATTTTTAAACAACACTAAAGTGTCTAAAATTAAAGATAGCATTTTTTGGAAAATTCAATTTTTTCATAAGGGTTAGCCCACATATTTCAAGAAAAATTAGAAATTTTTTTATTTTTATTTTAATACATATTTGCATCATGAACTGACATATTATGAATATTTAATAGGTTTGAGACCTTCTGTGTTCTCATTTCTCTATAAAATATAGATTTTATAGGGGTTAGAATACTAATTATATTGTATATGAAGATTAAATAAATTAATCGTTGGAAAGTTAAAAATGAGGACCATGTACCATGAAAATATGTTTAGCCTACATTAATATACATTGAGAGTGTGGTTTGGTATTTTTTAAACAACACTAAAGTGTATAAATTTATAGATAGAAGTTTTTAGAAAATTCAACTTTTTCATAGGGGTTAGCCCACATATTTCAAGAAAAAATTAGAAAATTTTCATTTTTGTTTTAATACATATTTGCATCATGAACTGACATATTATGAATATTAAGTATAGTATGCCCATGTACCACTAAAATACGTTTAGTATACATCAATATGCATTTAGAATGTGGTTTTATATTTTTAAAACAAAATTAAAGAGGCTAAACTTAAGGATATATAAAATTTATAAAAAAATCAAATCTTTTCGTAGGGGTTAATCCACATATTTGAAAGAAAACTAAAAAAAAGATATTCTTGTTTTAATACATAGATGCATCATTCACTGACATAGTATGAAGATTAAAGTGGTTTGAGACCTTATGTGTTCCTATTTTTCTAAAAAATAGAGATTTTATAAGGGTTAATCCACTAATTAGGTTCGTATATGGAGTTTAAATAAATTACTTGTTGTAAAATTAGTAATGATGTCCATGTACCATTAAAATACGTTTAGTATACATCAACATGCATTTAGAGTGTGGTTTTACATTTTTAAAACAACATTAAAGAGGCTAAACTTAAGTATATATAAAATTTAACAAAAATTCAATCTTTTCGTAGGGGTTAACCCTTATATTTCAAAGAAAACTAAAAAAAATGATATTTTTTTAATGCATAGATGCATCATGCACTGACTTAGTATGAAGATTAAAGAGGTTTGAGACCTTCTGTGTTCCCATTTTTCTAAAAATTTTAGATTTTATAGGGGTTAGTCCACCAATTAGGTCGTATATGAAGTTTAAATAAATTACTTGTTGGAAAATTAGAAATGATGTCCATGTACCATTAAATTATGTTTAGTATACATCAATATGCATTTAGAGTGTGGTTTACATTCTTAAAACAACATTAAAGAGATTAAACTTAAGTATATATAAAATTTATAAAAAATTCAATCTTTTCGTAGGGGTTAACCCACATATTTCAAAGAAAACTAAAAAATGATATTTTTGTTTTAATAAATAGATGCATCATTCACTGACATAGTATGAAGATTAAAGAGGTTTGAGACCTAATGTGTTCCCATTTTTCTATAAAATAGAGATTTTATAGGGGTTAGTCTACTAACTAGGTCGTATATGGAGTTAAAATAAATTACTTGTTGCAAAATTAAAAATTATGCCCATGTACCATTAAAATACGTTTAGTATACATCAATATGCATTTAGAATGTGGTTTTATTTTTTAAAACAACATTAAAGAAGCTAAACTTAAGTATATATAAAAAATTTATCAAAAATTCAATCTTTTCGTTGGGGTTAACCCACATATTCCAAAGAAAACTAAAAATATGATATTTTTATTTTAATGTATAGATGCATCATTCACTGACATAGTATAAAGATTAAAGAGGTTTGAGACCTTATGTATTCATAGAAGACTGTAATCCATAGATTTCAAGATAAATTATATAATATGTTATTTTCATTTTAATGCATAGATGAATCGAGCACATCTATGCACCTTTTTCTGTCTGACACTTTATACGATGAAGATCAAGAATGTTTGACACCTTTTTTTGGTCTCAATTTCTCTAAAATATAAATATTTTATAGGGTTTAGTTTTTTAATTTACGTGGTATATAAAGTTTAATTAAATTACTTATTGAAAAATTATAACTGATGTCGATCTACTATGAAAATAAATTTAAGATACATTAGTATACATTTTTAATGTGCTAAGATATTTTCAGTATGTAATGCGAAAATCTGAAAGAGTTAATTATTTTCTGATGATATCATTTGTGGCCCACTTCTTTGACATGATAAAATTAAATCGCCAAACGTCTTATTTTCAGTATTGTCGATCGAACATAACTTGGATACGCTTACAAAAAAAAACAGTGTAATTGCTAATTACGGAAAATAGTTACGCAACAAACCATTAATCATAAATTCACCCTCTAATTAAGTTTTCTTCAACAGCTTAACAATGCGTTTTATCGTAGACATAAACTCTTTCTCTTTCTCTGGAACCACCGAATGATATGCATTCTCCTTCCATGCTCTGTAGAAAAATGATTCTTTCTCAACAAATATGGTAGCTTTGTTAGTGTTGCACGTTCCGTTCTTGAGAGAATCTGAAATTTCATTAAGTAGCGATTCAGATTTTACCAAAGAACTCAGCTCCTCTTTCATATCACCTTTTGATTCCTTCTTCAACCCTTTCAACTCTCCCAGCAATTTCTTTGCATTCTCAATCTCTTTTATAAGTTTGTCTTTCATGAGTAGTATTTCTTCTTCTCCTTTTAGTGTTGTCAAAGTTTCGGGTTTTACATCGCTGAGTTTCACTAGCTTCACATCTCTCGCTAAAGCCTCTTCGATGTTGCATCCCAATGCGATGACTAGGGTCACAATAAGACCAGGTAGTATGATAGTTTCTTTTGCCATATTGTATTGTTTCAAATTGATTTAGGGCATGTCTTCTTTGGTCATATATATGAGAGGATTGCAACTGCTTTTGGTGGTAACCTTTACACGGAAAAATGTTGTCTAAAAGTAGAAGGTAATGTTTGATATTTTGATGTTCTGTACTTCTATTAGTAAATGCTATAAATATAAAACAAGTTGAACTAAATGATTTTAGTAAAAGGAAATTTGAGAATTTTATGGATAACCAAATAAAGAAGAGTCTTCGGGTGAATACAATACATTGGCCATAAATTTAAGGTTAGGAGTACATACTATACTATTATTAGTCACGGATAATAGTATAAAATAACCTAAAAATTAGAAAAGAACTCACATCTCTTCTCGCCTCTTTTCCTTTAACAAATTATTTGGAATATAATTTCAAACTGATTGTTAAGGGAAAATTGAGCTTTAGTCATGGCAAAGATCTCCTTATTGCTTTTCGTCGTTGCCCTTTTCGCTTCTCTCCACGCTTATGAAGCTCACCGCATGGGCAAATTCAATGAAGGACTTGAAAAAGACTTGCACAAAGCCGAGGCCATGATCGAGGAAGACTTGAAGGCCAAGAAATCGAGCATTCAGGGTTTAAAATCTGAGGTGAAAACGTTGAGCAAATCTGAACAGACTCTGAAACAACTTGGAAATGATTACAAAAAGGATACGGATGAAGCGCCTTACGGAAAGAAACTCAAAAGATTCAGCAGGATAGTAAAAATCAAGGATGCACCTGCCAAAAAAAAGAAAGCTGCATCCGTAATCCAAAAGATCTTGAAGGATTTTGGGCTAAACGGAGGGAAGGAATGACAACAGATAGTAATTAGGGTTTGATCATTATTTAAAGAAGGTTCCAACTTGTTCATGGAGTTTAGCTTACAAGTGAAAGGAACAAATAATTCCACCATAGTATACTAGTTGCATCATAATGTAATTAATACGATTAAATGAAATATTACTACTTATGATATCATAATATAAGAATTGTGTATATGTATGTCAATTATCTATTAGGTTAAAACTTATGCAACTAACTGTTTATGGATACAAAGTTTTAGATATATATTCATAAAATACTATCGATGAACCACATTAATTTTCAAAAAGAGGAACAGTTTATCCATACATTTTCTTAGACGGTTATATATGTCAACGCATGGGTTCGTTGAGAAGATCCAAAATCAATATTCCAAAAACTACACAAACTAGTCAGAAAATTTTATTATAAGTGATTTTCACAGATGTGTTCAAAAAAAATTCACAGATAGTAAACAAAGCATTAAAACTATGACAATTCTCTCAAATAGTTTTTTTAAAGTTTTTATCACAAAAATAACTCTTAAAAAATAAAATGACAAAAGTAACTTTTTTTTATTTTGAATTTAATTTTTTTTTTTTTTTGAAAATCCATCTCCAAAATCCCACCCCTTAACTCAATAAGTCTAGATTAGTTAATCCTAGAGATATATGTATATATTTACCCTTTCATGAAACATTTTTTGGTTATTTTTCTTCTTTAGTGTTATTTTGTGAAAAAAAAACTAAAATATTATTCAAGAGACTTCCCTTAAAATTATGTATTTTTATATCTCTAGTCACTAAGTTTAACCAATATAAATAGATGAAAATTTGGTTTAAAAAACTGTATTGACAAATATAAAACGACACTTTGGAAACAAAACAATTCAAAAACATCTGTCAAAGTCATTTTATTGGGGATCTTTGACTTTGATATGAAATGTAGAAAAGAAAGAGCGGATATTTGCCTACTTTTGTAGATAAATAAATATGTGTGTGTATAAGTGTATTATATGTTGTTAACACAAGGTATATTTTAGCATCAGTACATTAATGGGTTTGATTTGAAGTTTCCTATGACTATACTAAGATTAATAGGTTGTTGAAGAGAGCACAAATATATATGTTGACGGATATTACAAGAGTTTTCATATAACAACTCCTATATTATTGTTTATCTGTGACTATAAATATAGTAAAGCATATGCACAATCAAACTCTTTTAGAGCAACCCCAGGTTCCCAACAAATGATTCTCAACCTAAAGTTCTTAAATGTACACACATATATATGTATATATATTTATATATGTGTGTGTGTATCTGAGAAAAAAAAAATTGTGCAACATGTATCTGAGAATTTTATATTGAAAACCCTTTTGTTGGGGTTGCTTAGACATTCTTTTTAGAATAAAAATTTCTATATTGATAAAGTGATTACTTTTTAAAGTGGGTATTTTTTTAATTTACAACTAATTATTGTAAAATTTAGTTATCAAACAACTTAATTTTATTTAGGATAGCCCAATTTATTTTCTACGTTTAGGACCCCGAAATTCCTAGAAATAGCTGTTCTCTATACTTTTTCTGAAAACAAATATTTATTGGTGCAAGTTACTGTGATGAATTTTTTGGTTCATCGCTAAACCTTTACACGAAAACCATACATATATATATATAGGAAACAAGAATATCCTTTTATTGAATTTCTATAATTAAAGGTTCGAAACTTGAAGTGTTGAAGTAAGATGACTACCAAAAACTTCTGCGAATTTTACGGGTGACCAAAGAAGTCAACACCATTTGTTGACCATCAAACAAGGTTACTATTTTACGCACAGATAAAAAACTGTAAATGATTTAAGAAATGAACACACGAACTCAATCCTCTTATATATTATGTCCCTTTTAACAGATTATAGTTTGATCAATTTCAGATTTGAGGGGAAATTAATCATAAAACATGGCAAAGATTTCCGTTGTGCTTCTCGTTGTCGCTCTGATTGTCTTTATACATGTCTCTGAGGCTCAACGGTCGACAGATAAAGACGAACAAAGAGATAAAGAAGAAAAAGTAACTGAAAACGACAAAGACAAAGAAAGAGATAAAGACGAAAAAGTAGTTGAAAACGACAAAGACAAAGACAAAGACAAAGAGGAAGAAGTAGTTGAAAACGACAAAGACAAACACAAAAACAAAGACAAAGACAAAGACAAAGAGAAAGAGGAAGAAGTAGTTGAAAATGACAAAGACAAAGATAAAGAGAAAGAGGAAGAAGTAGTTGAAAACAACAAAGACAAAGACAAAGACAAAGATAAAGAGAAAGAGGAAGAAGTAGTTGAAAACGACAAGGACAAAGAAAGAGATAAAGCCAAAAAAGAAGTTGAAAACGACAAAGACAAAGAGGAAAAAGTAGTTGAAAACGACAGCGACAAAGAGAATGAGAAAGAGGAAGAGGAAAAAGTAGTTGAAAACGACAAGGACAAAGACAAAGACAAGGACAAAGGAAGCGAGAAAGAGGAAAAAGTAGTTGAAAAGAACAAGGGCAAAGACAAAGAAAGCGAGAAAGAGGAAAAAGTAATTGAAAAGAACAAGGGCAAAGACAAAGAAAGCGATAAAGAGGAAAAAGTAATTGAAAAGGACCTGGATGAAGCCAAGGACTTGATTGAAGAGGACTTGAAAGAAAAGAAAGCCAACATTAAGAACTTGAAAAACCAGGTGAATGAGTTATCCAAATCTGAGACGGTGTTAGATGAGCTCGGAGAAGCTCACAAAAAGGGTGAGAGTCTAAAACCTTATGAGAAAAAACTTAAGAAATTCAACAGAAAGGTCAAGCAGGCACCAAAGAAAAAGAGATATGGATCCATAATTCAATGCATTCTGAAGGATTTGGGATTAAACAGAGGGAGAAACTGAAACAACAACTAGCTAGGGTTTCATGAACGTTTTAAGGAGGTTTCAAATTGGCCCCATGAAGCTTGGCTTTACAAATGAGAGGAGTATATATTTAATTAATTGCATCAACAAGTTGTAATAAATTAAATGAAACGTATTAGTTGTAAATATTGTAATATATTTTTGCGCTAATGTTTTGCTCATTTGTTATTAACCTAATATTGTAATAGTTGCAGAATATTTTTTTGCTTTCCACACAAAATCTAATTTATGACTAATTGATTCATCATCCACAACATATATAACGTGTACTTCACCAAACAATTTATCTTCATATCCATATCGAATACTTGAGAATCCGAGTATTCCACATATGCCAATATGGAAAATATGATCTAGAGTCCAAAAACTATACAGTTCATACATGTATGTACAAATATATATATTCACACATCTGATCGATGTTATAACTATATAAAACTAAACACTAAGGGTTCTAATTTGGTAAGAAAGATATATATCACCTTTGGTTATTAAGAAACATAGCACTTATGTAGCTAATCGCCCAACTAGCAACACTTGCTGAATAGCTACCAGGAAGAAGATCGGAGGCATTCATCAATGACAGAAGAATATGCATTTCGGTTTATATATTACACTGAAATTACAATATAGCATATTCACGTATAAAAAGTGGTGATTTTACGTCATGTGCTTATACCTGAATATTTGGCCGCAAGTATGTCTGTAGACTGCATGTGACGCATGGTTTTCGTTCGTCCATAACGAATTAGATGCATTTGTGTGTTTCAGTAATTTTTTTTTTGTCAGCGTATATTGTAGACTTGTAGCTCAGTGTAAGTCAGACTAGTGGACGTTCGTTGTTTTTAACTGCAACTTGCAAAGATAATAAACAATAAGACATATATTAAAAGCACATATAATATAAGTCAGTCATGGCATATTAGCGAAATAAAAAAAAAAAATTAAGTCATGGATCATAGTAGTACCATTGAAGAGATGAGGAGGAGGACAAGAAGGGAGTTAATCATGGCTATTGTCTTCATGAAGTTGTTGGAACATAAGACCATGTTGAGGAAAGGCCATCTCCAATCTCAATCCTGAAGTTTCGTCTGCTGTTGGATCAAACACATACATATGTATATACAAAATAAACTCCACTAAGTCTTGATCACTGATATGCTTTCTATCGGATAATGAAGCTATAATCTAGTGATGATCAAATGCTTTTTTGTTTAGGGCATCTCCAACAATGACATCAAATTTGGTGTCAAAATTACACCAAATTTGATGTTTTGGTGTCAAATTTCTTTTGTTATCTCCGACAACAACACCAAATTTTACGCCAAAAGTAATATTATATATTATTTTTTTGTTTTAATATTTTTTATGTTTTAATTATTTATAAGTGATATATATTTATTTTATCACATTTATTTATTATTTTTGTTATAGTAATGTAGTTTTATGTTTATAACATTTATTTACATTTATTTTTGGTTTACCAATATTAGATATTTAAGTATTTATAATATAGAAATATTAGTTATGATCAGAATTAAAAACTATTAAAATGAAAAGTACATAACAAAATAATAAATATATTTTAATAAAATTTGTATTAGTTAGTAATATATTATAATATATTTTCTTACAATATGACATTTAGTGATTTATTAATAGAAAATAAAAAACCTTAATTATGTAAAATAATTTAAAAATACATTATATTTAGGTTTAATTATAAATTTGAACTAATTAATAATAGTTATTGAAGATATTATTAAATGAAATGTAATAAAATATGTATTTTAAAATTTGGTATGATGAATAGTGTTACATCAAATTTGGTATAACACTATTTATTTTATACCAAATTTGGTGGGATTGTGTCAAGTTTGGTGTTTCTTGGAAATGGATTTACAATAAATTTAATGTTTTGGTGTCATTGTTAGATATGGCCTTACATATTTAAAATTCTGAGTTTGGAGTATCTTTTGGATCACATCAACCTCTCTTTTAAAGAGAAAAAAAAAAGGAGAGAGACATAGAGCAAAGGATGAAATGACCACATCAATCACTATATTCTATTTAATTGTTGTGGGCTTTTGAAAGCCCCAATATTTAAAGAGAACATTTCCGTTCTAGTGGTAAAACGCTTTTAAGCTCAAACGTTTAAAAATCAATTTAGCGTGGTAAAATGCGTTTGGGGGCGGCGTGATTGGATAAGAACTGAGACCGGCGGAACAAAATGGAAAAGTAAAGAAATTTTGTTGATCATCTATCTTCTACTTACCTTGGACGATGAATCCCGAACAACCTGATACCGAATCTCCAGTGGCAGCTTCGAGTCCTAGGTCTCCGAAGCTGAAGGCTAGCTCCAAATTGAACCGATGGTCCATGGCCCGAGCTTTACGCTCCGGTGTTAAGATCACTGACCGTCCCATCAACACCCCTACTACTACGGAGGAGGCTGATAAGAAGACTTCTTCGATTGATAGTGATGACGTGGCGGGAAAGTCAATATATTTGGTTTCGGATGGGACAGGGTGGACTGCAGAGCATTCCGTTAACGCCGCTTTGGGCCAATTCGAAAATCCATTAGTCAATCGTGTCTTTCCTGTTAACACCCATCTCTTCTCTTGGGTAATTATTAAATTCAACACTCTCAAAACTCTCATTTTTTTTTTCGTTTAATCAAAATGATGTTTGTTTCAGGTGGAGGATGAGGAGAAGCTGTTAGAGATCATAAAGCAGGCAGCTAAGCAAAAGGCAATGTGTTTCTACACTTTAGCAAATCCTTTAATGTCCAAATCCGCTAAAGAAGCTTGTGATCAGTACGGAGTGCTTTCAGTTGATATCTTAGGACCAATCATCGAAGGAATAGCTTCTCACTTGGGTGTTTCTCCATCAGGTCTCACCCGTGGAGCGCCCGGTAGGGTCAAGACTCTCAACGATGCTTATTTCAAAAGAATCGAAGCTATTGAGTTTACCATTAAGCAAGACGATGGGACTTTACCCGAGAATTTAGGCAAGGCTGACATCATTCTTGTCGGTGTTTCAAGAACGGGAAAGACGCCGCTGTCTACTTATATTGCTCAGAAAGGGTACAAAGTCGCAAATGTACCGTTTGTGATGGGTGTGGAACCGCCCAAGACGCTTTTCGAGGTTGAACCGAGGAAAGTTTTTGCGTTGAAGATCGAACTTGTGGTACTGCAAGCGATTAGGAGAACAAGGGCTAAAACGTTAGGGGTGGATACAGAAGGAGAGAACAGATACTCTGGCTTCGATCTTGTTCGGAAAGAACTTGATTTCGCATCCAAGATATATGCTAAAAACCCTGGATGGGCGGTTATAGGTAGAGTAATATGAACAATGTTTACTATTTTTTTCCTCATTATATTCTGATAGTTAGTTATTATTGCAGATGTGACAAATAAAGCAATAGAAGAAACCGCAGCTTTGATTCTGCGACTTTACCATGACACTAGCAGTAGCACTTCTGTGCCTTGTATTTCTAAACGCTTCTAAGCTAGAGTTAATTTCATCAAACCGTGCAACTTTGATGTATTCTCTAAGGTAACACTTAAGTGATAGACTTGGCAAAGTAGAACAATACTTACAAGACCCAGTACTTTATTATATTAAGAAGATGGGAATAAAACAGGTGAGGAAGTTCTAGAGAATTTACCACCATTGAAATCAATGTTGTTGAGCTTGTGTTGGCACCATTTAAGGTGAGAAGATGAGACCAAAGACATTTGTAAGACTCTAGACACAAGCTTTAACTCTATCTTTATAAATCTTACTAACATAGAGTTTTCATCTTCTTCCATGTAAGGAGGTTTCTTCTTCTTGAACCAAGTCTTCTTCTTGTTTACCCCTTGTGTCTCCTTCAACGATTGTTCCTTCTTCATTAATCCAAATGTGTTAAGATTTTCTTAGTAATTTTTTTGGAAAAGTTAAAGGTTCATGAAGATTTAGGTTTATGAAGATTTACCTTTTGAATTAAAGTTTTGAGGTTAAGGTAAAGCATAATGTCTTTAGGATCTTCCACTTCCATAAAAGGAGAGTTGACGAGTGAGATTTTAAGTCTTTCCCAAATGAAAAGTCTCTTGATGTCTGCTTTCACAAAGTCATAGAAGACTGTAATGCATTTCCCTATTGCTTTCAGCACTTGTTTCTCATTTCCTTCACCTTCATGAGGGCCCTTTCTTTTATATCCTTAATTACCCACAAAAAAATTGACCAAAGCTATATAAGTTACTTAAAATATAACTTACATAATTTTCATATGAAAAGTGTAGGATGATGTAATGTAATATTATACGAAATTTTTTCAAAATGAGTCGAATGTTTTAATCATTGACATTTCTTTGAATCCGGGACGCACATTTTTCTTGGTTAGCATATAGAGTTGACAATTCCTTAAGATTTTATTTGAATTAAATACATTAATAGATAAGGTTGTGTGACTTATCTACAAACTTACGTCGAAGGATTATGTCGAGAATTAGCTGTTAGAACCGAAGTTTGACTATCAGAAATGCAAATTACAATTCCATAATGTAAGATATTTAATTTATTTGTTTATATATTTTTAAAATATTTGATAGATTCGTCGCACATAAAATGAAAGCTGCTTGGAATTTTAAAAGCTTTCTTAAAGAGCTTAGTCATTACTCTTTGATTGTCAAGGAACCTCTTAAAAACTCATATATTGACCGCAACTTGTATACTTACTCTATTTCATTAAGTTACATGTTTTAAAAAAAAAAATTAAAATATGCATTTTTATATTTCAATGCATATTTTAATAATTATTAATGATTAATTGGAAATTTAAAAAAATTACACTTATTAAATTTTTATTGGAAAGGATAATCACAAAAAATGATTTATTAGTTATATGTTTTATTAATATGTGAAAAATCTAAAATATGTATCATATTGAAACAGATTGAGTATTTTGTAAGAAGAGAAAAATCAATTAATACTACTAACAAAAATGAAATTATGGTTCCTATGATTCCAACCAACGTAATTAAAAACCATTACTAACAAAAATGAAATTATGGTTCCTATGATTCCAACCAACGTAATTAAAAACCATTACTAACAAAAATGAAATTATGGTTCCTATGATTCCAACCAACGTAATTAAAAACCATATAGTATGAACTCTCAATTCATACACGATGAAACCCACCAAGAAAAGTAATACATATAGGAATATTGATGTGAATGTTTATGATAAATAAATCAGTTACCTGAAAGTCTTGGGACTTGAAAGAAGCTCATGAGCTCAAACCTTCTTTGAACAAAGCTAAATACCCTTCTTCCTTCACACCTTTCATCTTCCAAGAATCTCTCTAATAAAACATGAAACTTCTGAAATTCCTTAGAGATATCATCGTTATAGAACCCGCCTCTTGAATCAGCGGATTTCAATCTATCGTTCACGGTTGAGTACTGATGCTGGAGAGCTTCCCATGATAAACATGATTGAGCAACATAAACTAGCTCAAGATCCTTCTCTATGCTTTGTTTAAGCATCTTCTCTGCCTTTATTCCCCATAAGCTCAAAGTACTTGCCGTTTCTTGGTTCATGATCACACCTAGTATAATGAAAAAAAAAACAATGGCATTTTGATATGATATAAACTGTAACTTGTAGTAAAATGATTTGCGTATACCAAGTCACTAACCAAAACATGGAATAAAAAAGACTTACTTAGTCCATAGGTTCTATCGCGGCTGAGGATGTCATACCATCTCATTCTTTCGCAGTATTTATTGTATAATTCATTGGTTTCATCATCTTCATTTCCATGAGTTTGATTCTCTATCACAGTTGAATCTTGTAGCTGTGAATCCAAGCTTGAAATAGAGAAAGGAGAGGCTTGATCTCCATCGCTATTGAGTGAAATTATATCATTACTAGCTTCTAGAGAAGATAGATCACTCCCAACGTTTGATTTAATATCTTCTTCCTCTTCATCATCATCGTTGGCTAAAGGACATTTATTTTCTTGATCCATTGGCATAGTCTGAAGTTCGAACTCAAGGTTATTCTCCACAAAGTCAATAATGTCGTCTTCTTCCCCCTCGCTTTCCTTAGCATCAAGAAGATGAATAACACCCTCTTCTTGATCAAGTTGACAGCAAAAATCTTCTTCATCTTCAAGACTCTTGCCTTGTTGGAAAAGTAAAAGAACTTTTGATCTACTATCAACTTGATCTTTAAACGAAAAGCTAAAGGAAGGAACAGAACTATGAATTCTCCTAGAAAGTTCCAAATTAACATGGGTGTTCTTGTTCTCTTGCCTAGACACAATATTATAAGTAACCTCCCTTCTACTCATAATGACTCGTAGAAAACTGTTAAATAGCTTAGAGAAGGTGGCCAAGAAGGATAAAAAGGAGTTGTAAAACGCTTGAAAGTGTGGGACAAGCCATAAAAAGAAGACATAGAGCCATAGAAGAAGTTGGCAAAGAAAGAGAACAAGAGGGTGCATGAATAATCTCATGTAAGACCATTTTAAGAAACCATCTTGAATGACTATAGATTCTATGATTAACCAACATGATGAGAGTAAAGCCATCAAAGTTCAGAGGGAGGGGAGAGAGAGAGAGAGAGGCACTCAAGAGAGTGTCTTTATAAAGAAGAAGATGACGATGAAGAAGAAGCTGCCTAGAAAAAGCCTGTTGGAATTTTTTTGCCTCAGACAAATTATTAATAAATAAAGCTGTTCAAAGGTCAAGTCATCTTTGAGTGTTTCTTCCTTATTGATGCAGTTTTTGGTTACAAACATGTTGTGAAATATACAAAATTTTAATCAACTAAAAACCAATTTGTAATAAAATATTTTTAATGTATCATAAGATAATATATAGTATTACTGGTTTTCCCTGTCTATTAAACCAAATAAAAAAAGAACAATCACAGTTTTACCTGAAACAAAACAACTGGTGAAGCCTACAAGTTTGGACTTTAAGAGGACAGCAACAAATCCGAAATTTATATAGAAAACAAATATATATGGGATCGATCAAGCATAGTAAGGAGGATGACCAGAAGAAGGTGAAGCCCCTGTCGGATCAGCTGGTGGGTACATATATGGACTTCCCCCGTATTGAGTTTGCACCTGCGTATTCTGCCAACCATCTGTTGTTGGCCCACTAGCTGCAGCCACTCCTGTCCCCACCAGTTGGCTTAGATCAGGCAGTGTGTAGTCTCTGCTTTTGTCACTAAATGCCTGAATAATAAAGAAGAAATCATTATTACTCAAACAATAGAATGTTGATTCCAGATTTCATTCAATTGTTGAAGAAAGCATACGGTTCTTGCAGGCATCACTTATTATTAATCTCTTTCCCTAGACTTATGTACCTTTACATTGAGATCAGTATGACGAGAGTATGTTAGTCGAAGCTTACAGTAGCCACCTTCATATATGCTGTGTCCTTCCAGTGCTTCTTTCGCTACTGCCGCTGTTGCTATATCTACAGCATAATAATTTAAAAATAATCAATGACTCTCTTCAACTGCTTTGATTACCCATAAGCTGATTAAGATGTTTAAGATCAGATCATCAAGGTCATGTACCAGAGTATTGAATTAAGGCTTGCGTTGAACCATTCTTCTCAAATATTGCAATCTTCTGGACAGCTCCATATGCGGAAAACACCTATGAGAAGCAAAAGGAAATACTTAATATTGAGATATGAGAGCATGATGAGATGCAGAAACGTTCATACTGTTGTTCCTCACCGTGTGGAGAACATCCACGGTGACAGCGTACTGCATATTCTCAATCAAAGCAAGCAGGACGTTGCTCTGAGTTTCTACCCTCTTTCCATCAGCACCCAAAGCAGGCTGAATGCAGTCATGTCAAAGACGATCAGTAACGTAATACAACGCATTCAGTGTATAAGTTGTTTGGAGATAGGATTAGATAGGAAAATTCACCTGCATAGAACCATCCATTGCGGTTTGATTCACTGGAAGGTATGGATTTGTGTAATCCCTGAGTACGTAAGAGAATCAAACACATGAATCGACTATTTAACATAAGGAAGAGGCATAATTGCAAGGACTCTTACCTGCTGCGGTGAGACTGAAACTTGATATTTAGATCAGTATGAGCTGAATAAGACATTCGCAAATTGCAAGAACCTAGATGTTTTGGAAGCAGATATCTGAATATACCACACAAAAAAAACCATCAACAGAGCTTTATATTATGGCGGAAATGCAAGCGTCAAAAGCATGAATGAAGAATTCGAGCATACTTGGGTATACTTCTGCCATCCAGTGCAGTCCTTGCCGCTAATGCAGTTTCCACATCAGTAAACTGAACTAGTGCCTGGGAGGTAGATAATGAGTTTAAACATCCTTATATTAACGCAAGACCTTGGAAACAAAACTCGATATCAAACCTGGAAACCAGCAGCTTTCTCAAAAGTGGCAATTTTGTGGACGAAGCCATAAGCAGAAAACACCTGAAACAAAAGGTTGGAGTAGAAATGAGTCATGACCATAACACAGAGGAAGTAAACAGATAACAACAAAAAGGGAAGCAAATCAATGGAAATAAACTCAAAAGTTCCCGATTAAGAGACTAAAAAAAAAGAAAAGAGAAGCCCAGATAAGTATAGAGTGACACCTGTCCACTTATGGGCACGATACAGCATAGCTAGGAGAATGACGAACATGATAATATCTGTGATTCGAGCATTTTCATTAACGTTGATATAATTGAAATAGTATGTCTAAGTAAAGATTACTCAAAAGAAATTTGCTCAAAAACTTTATTTTTGTATGTTCATCAGCTCAAAAAGCAGAACACAAGAGCCAAACACACAAACTTTCCCATACCCATTGACAAAAAAAAAAATCACTGAAGGAAGCTCTCACATACAGGAAATAATAACAGTGTCAGGGTAAGCCAAAAGCAAGCTTAAAATAGAGACTTACGAGATGAATGACATCGATGCTGACATCGTGAGATTCGACACCTTCAAAGGTAACCAAGAGAACATTGCCAGGGACATCTCCAGGACTCTGATTGTTGACAATCTCATGCCGATTAGAGTACTGAATATACACAGTTTTCCCTCGAATCTGTGCAGGCTCTGAAGACGAAGCATAATAAGAAACCATTGATATAGCCTGATTCAACTCAGCCTGCAAAAATATCAAATCATCAAAAAAGAGTACCAATTTCTCCTCTTATTATCAATTTCTAACCAAATCTAAATAAAATAAAATAGAGAATCTTACGAATTCGACGAAAGCTTGGTTGCGATTGGCGCCGACATTGGTCTTGGTGTTGACGATCTTGCCGAATCGTTTGCATAGGTCGATGAGCTCTTCTTCAACGCATTCCCACGGCAGATTCCTCAGATGCACCACCTTCGACGGCGTCTGCGTATACCTAAACTGTGAGCTCGACATCTCCCCCGGTAAGGTAACAACAACAACTAGTCGGATTTGCAGACGCAGAGCAAGTGCCGACGCAGACAAGAGTCCTCGACGATTCTCTCTCTCACGGCTTCATTGTGATCGGAACAGCTATACAGCTAAAGTATCAGGAATGTTTGCAGATTGGTCCCCAAAGAATGAGCTAATTTACGATTCATGCTACTAAACTTTTTTATTTTATACATCCCATAAGCCCATTTATCCAATACTACAGTCGACTCTGTTTATAAGGCCCGATCATCCAATATTAGTTGGTTATGTATTAAAGATAGAAGATTAGGTTAGACAGTGATGAGTTATTGTTACTTCATCATTCTTGGATTGTATTAAAAAGACAGTGACGTTTGCTTATGCTTACTATTATAAACAAAGATAACACTCTACTCATGTATGTGTTTTACATAATCGTTATTCCATGCATGCAAAGTACTTTTGACATTGACGCAGTTTTTTTTCTTCATGTGTGTGACTTCACTTGTTGTGTTCACAACTCTCACGATCTTGTTTGTCTACGTTTTCTCTATGTTTTCAGTAGAATGCGCCATACTTTGGTGGAGGAGTATACTGATCTTGTTCATCATCTTCAAATAGGAAAATTATTTTGTTGGTTTTAATTTTTCTTCTTACTTTCAATTTTGTTGTGATCTTGTCAATGGAATTGCTTTGCTTGCCTTGTCTAAGAGAATCTTGATCAAGTTATTTTAAATAATGTGACCTCTTTAGATAATTTCCAAATCAAACCTGGAAAAAGCAAAACACAGTGTTTAATGTGGTTACAGGAATTGGGATTTGAAAGCTCACAAATTTGAGCTGTTTTTGGCCCTACCATGAACTAACTGTCAGTTAAGCCTCATATCCTTACTCTTGGATTGGTCCAGAGGGTCTCAATAGCCACTACTGTTTTGTGAAGGTACTCATCCATTACTACTGGTTTGGTTGTATTATTTTATTTTCTTTTGAAACAAGTTTGATTGTATTATTAACTTAGTCTTTTAGTACTGTACTAAGTTTGTTGCAGTTTCTCTTCTGCCTGGCTAGTTTCTTGCCACAGTTTTCTCAAGTAAGTAATCCATATGCTTGGCTTGGCCTAATGTGGTTAATGTGAAAGTCGTATGCTCGGTTCCTTCCTTTTTTTATTACTTTTAGGTTGGATGATTTAGGGTAACGTCTTGCTGAAGATATTGATAGAAAGGTTGGTTTAGGCTTTAGCTGAGAAGATCACCAAGTTTGAGTTGGAAATGATAACAATTTGTGGCTTTTCATGTGTGTGACATCTTGTTCTCCTACTGATTTTCGATAGATCGAACACATTAACGCAAAAGACTTGGACCAGTGATATAAAAATTTAAGAAACTATCATAGTACTCAGCTGGTCTATAAATGACCGTGACGCTAAGCAAATGGTTAACAGTTGACTTTAAAAGCTTTTGCCTCTCTTCTTGGCTCACTGGCTCTTTACTTCTTGGGAGGTTCAGCTACGTGGATGGATGTGATTTTCACATGTGGCATCATGATCATCATCATCATCTATGAAGCTTTAGTTAGGACCATAATGAGTAGAAGCTGTCAATATGAAATCAGCAAGACATTTAAAGAAGTGGCCCATTGTCCTTTACATCTTTTGCAGCAAATGTGATTTTTCCAATATCTTGAGTTATCAATACTATTATTTTTGTTTTTTTCTTATTGGTAGAATTCTTTGGGCCTATGATTGTCTTATGGTTTCTCATTGAGTCGATGAAGATACTATCTTCTTCGCCCTCCAAGCTAGGAGCCCACCTCAATAAATCCGTTATTTGTTGCCATGGAACACACTAGGATACTCTTTCTTTGTTTGGTCTAGTAAAATCTATTTAATGTCACCGTCACCCCCATTAATCGTCTACCTTTCTTGGCAGGAAAAGTTACCTTTATCGACAACATTTGATCACCTGTAAACTAACCAGTCCTGTAAAAAAGTTGCATGAAGAACAGTTGAGAAACACGGTATAGATTCTGAGTTAATCAGTTTCCTCAGCTAGGTTGATGAGATGTAGTTACAGAGATCATTTTTGTAGGCTTTGTGATATGCAACTGGTTTAACGGTAAACTAAATCGTAAATGCTGGTTTTTACCTCACACAGTTAGCTATTTGGTGGTTAAGTTTCTGGATCCTTTGATCGTTCATTGTCTTTATTTGTTTATCTTTGTGATAAAATGGATATTTTGATGACTTGACAACGAAAACAGTGTATCAGCTAGTGGGACTTTCACTAAGTGGTGAAGGAATCACACAAGGAAAAGTTGTTTATCTCCTTTCTTCTTGCTCCCCACCACAAAAGTGCTTCCTCTGTTTACTTTTATAAGGTTAGAAATCTTTTCAAAAGTTACAGTGGCTTACATATTTGAGACGCAGTAAAAAAAATCTACTTGGTGTTTACCACGGTCATAGCCTTCTGAATTATATTATTTGTCTGAGCAACCAAATTTTGCAACTATTATAATTAGAGTCTATAGATCATAACAATCTTTTGCTCTAAGTTACTCCAAATCTCATCAATTCTCTATGTCTGGATTGGTTGTCCCATTATAGTGCCAGCTTCCCATCTTCACCGCCATTTAACAGCATTTACTATTGTAGAGTTTCTAGTAAAAGCCAACAAAAATGTGAAAGAAAGAGAGAACAATAATCACTTTGTAGCTTTCAAGAAACCATACTTTAGTAGGATACCTGTAATAAGAAACCTAGCTAGAGCATCTCTCTGGTCCTAGTATAAGATAAAAGAACTGAGATTTGGTGAGAAGTGTTCAAGTTTTTTAGCTAGTTGAAAAGGATTTTAATCCCCTCCCCTGAACAAAGGCACTGCGGATGTGAATGGACCAAAGACTACTTTGTTGAAGTGTAATGAAGAAAACACTTCTTGTGTATGGCATTATATTAAGTTAGAGGGCAATAATCAAAGTGAGGGTTCTGAAACTAACCAGTTTTTACCTGGTGTAAAAAGATGGCTACTCTTTGGGTGCTCTGTTAAATCTTTAAAAGGAAATCAAGGTGCTGGAACCACAAGGTAATAATTCATATAGGCCCCATTCTAATTGAATGCCAATCCATGTCAAAGACCGGGGAAAGAGGCTCTTACAGAACCTAAACAGAGACATCTTCTGTTGTGTTCTCTCCCTCTATAAATCAAGACTCAAGCCAATAGAGCAGCTTTTGTGGACTATCATCAAAATCATCATCTAATGACTACTACTATCTCATACACCGTGAATCACGTTGAAGATATTTAGAAAGATAACAAAAAAGAAGAAGAAGAAGAAGCCTTGTTTATTCAGTAGCTTTATTTAGCCTTAGCTTGTAATGGGAAGAACGCCGTGTTGTGATAAGGCAGGGTTAAAGAAAGGGCCATGGACACCAGAAGAGGATCAGAAACTTTTGGCTTACATTGAAGAACATGGCCATGGAAGCTGGCGCTCTTTGCCTGACAAAGCTGGTAATGCTCTTTACTCTTTTTATCAAAATGCACATTTCTTTTATCTTCTTCTACCTCTCTATTCAAACCTCTCTATCCAACTCTTCACATAGGTCTCCAAAGATGTGGAAAGAGTTGCAGACTCAGATGGACTAATTACCTAAGACCTGACATCAAGAGAGGCAAATTCACTGTACAAGAAGAACAAACCATCATTCAACTACACGCTCTCCTCGGAAACAGGTGAGACTCAATCGCCAAAGAGTGAGTTGATTTTTTTTTTGTCATTTATTGATCTCTGTTGTATTGTTTTCATAGATGGTCAGCGATAGCAACACACTTGGCAAAAAGGACAGACAACGAGATAAAGAACTACTGGAACACACACTTGAAGAAACGTCTGGTGAAAATGGGGATAGATCCGGTGACACACAAGCAGCACAAGAACAACGAGACGACACTAATAATGTCTTCCACAGGTGGTCAATCCAAGAGCACGCTTAGCCACATGGCTCAGTGGGAGAGTGCTCGGCTCGAAGCTGAAGCAAGGCTAGCTAGAGAATCAAAAAAGCTTCTCCATTACCAAAACAACAAAGCAGCAGCTCCTAATCATTGCTTGGCTCACAAGGCATCAACAAATTGGAGAAAACCAAACGCCTTGTCTTCTTCCACCTTCTCCGATGTCAAAGATTCCGACCACGACTGGATGAAGCAGATCAACTGTCCGACAGAAGGATTCATGACCAGTCTCCTTCTGCTCGATGATTCAGTTGATCGAAGTCTCTACACCGGTAAAAACGCTGAGGAAACCGTAGAAGTCAACGAGAGTGAGTATAGCTACTATGAGGAGAACAAGAACTACTGGAATAGCATTCTCAACTTGGTTGATTCCTCACCCTCCGATTCATCAACCATGTTCTGATCTAATGCTCCACATTGGTTGTTATGTCCATATATAGCTTTCCTATACTTTTAATTTCTTTTTCTTTTTGAATCAAAGTTTTTAATACAAGCTTTGGGGGATATATGGTCATAATAAGAGGCTCTTAATATAACGTATAGTCAGGGTTTCACCTACCTACAGAATCAAATAGAGGAAGATCACACACAGGCTCTTTGCTCTTTAATCTCTTTTATGCAAAAAGTGAGTATCCAATAATAATTGACAATCAAAAATGATTCCAATTGCATTCTCTTGGACAATGCCTGAGTATATTCTCTCTATTGATGCTCCTCAACACTCTTTCTAAGCCATATAGAAATTTGCACATCTTTTCTGTTATGGAATCTCACTTAAGGACATGACACTAAACGTTACTTACATCAAGATTTCCATTTTACTGTCACTTTGATTTATTAGATAAATAACTACTAAGGATTAATCATCATTACCACAAGTGTCTGAATATTTGGGGAAAAGATGAAAGCTTGATGAGTCTTTGCCACGTCCCCTCCAATAAAACGACTATTATTATATTAATCCGTTTACGAAAACATGAGAAAAAAAAAATAGTTACAAAGCAAGGAGAAGAGGGAGAGAGAGGGAATCTGTGAGAATCTGGTATTGAGAGAGCTCATCTCTTCATCTTCTTTCCGTTTTCCAATCTCAGTTTCATACTTCTTTATTTATTAGCTCCTAAATTAAAGCCTTTCTTTTTTCATTTGCTGCATTTTTTGGCTTCTCTTATTTTCGGCAAGTTCGATCTCTCAAATCATCTATTTACGGAAACTAATTGTCTCTCTCTTTTTTTTAATGATGTTAAATTGCAAAATCGAGTGTGTTTGATCGCTTTCTTCTTGGAATCGTCGTCGGGTACGAGAGAGAAAGAGAGAGAGATCCATTACTTAGAGATCTAATGATTGGATTGTTAGGGTTCTTATTTCCGAATTGGGGATGTAGTTTTGAAAAATTGCTATTTTTAAGCTCCGTTAGTGTTGCTCCATCAATGGAATTTTTTATTCAATTGAAGTTTGGTTTAACTCATAAGAAAGTTTATATTCTCGCTTGTGAACATTACATTGCAGTTTGTTTCAAGTCTTGTGTAGTAGATTTTAATGTAGCTCTTTGTGTGTAGTTGCAGCTTTGTGTAGCAAAATGGATGGATCAGGAGGTAGAGGTGGAGTGGAATCGATTCTACCAAATTACAAGCTTGGGAGAACTCTCGGTATCGGTTCCTTTGGTAGGGTTAAGATTGCTGAACACTCTTTGACTGGTCATAAAGTTGCCATCAAGATCCTCAACCGTCGCAAAATCAAGAACATGGAGATGGAGGAAAAAGGTATCTGACTTTGCTTTTCTGTGGGAGATTAGGTTTCTTTTTAATCAAATCTCATTCAATTTGAGTGTTCTTCTCTTTGGTGCAGTGAGGAGAGAGATCAAAATCTTGAGACTTTTTATGCATCCTCACATCATCCGTCTCTATGAGGTCATTGAGACTCCCACTGATATCTATCTTGTCATGGAGTACGTGAACTCTGGTGAGCTTTTTGACTATATTGTGGAGAAGGGTAGACTACAAGAGGATGAGGCCAGGAACTTTTTCCAGCAGGTATTGTTTTCATTATATCTTTATATTTGAGAGTTCAAAATTTAGCCATAACTTTGCTTTGATGTAGATAATATCGGGAGTGGAGTATTGCCATCGGAATATGGTAGTTCACAGGGACCTTAAACCTGAAAACTTGCTCTTGGACTCCAAATGCAATGTAAAGATTGCTGATTTTGGTCTGAGCAACATTATGCGAGATGGTCATTTTTTGAAGACAAGCTGTGGAAGTCCAAATTACGCTGCTCCTGAGGTAACTTATTTAACCTTCATGTATCTTAGGAGCACTATATATATATATATATATGTATTTTTTTTTTGTTAAAAATCAGTTGTAATCGAGATCAGTAAACTGTTTCAGGTCATTTCTGGTAAATTATATGCTGGGCCTGAAGTAGACGTCTGGAGCTGTGGTGTGATACTCTATGCTCTTCTTTGTGGGACTCTTCCCTTCGATGATGAGAACATTCCCAACCTTTTTAAGAAGATTAAGGTACTGTCAAAACACGTTTCTTTTTTTTTTTTGTTGCCTAACATCTTTGAAGTAATAATGCATTAGTTACATTTTTTCTCTTTTCGTCCTGTAGGGAGGGATATATACATTACCTAGCCATTTATCAGCTGGTGCTAGAGATTTGATCCCCCGGATGCTCGTGGTAGACCCCATGAAAAGAGTAACCATTCCTGAGATCCGGCAACACCATTGGTTCCAAGCTCATCTTCCAAGGTATTTAGCTGTTCCTCCTCCAGATACAGTGCAGCAGGCCAAAAAGGTGAACCTAACGTGTATACTCTTATTTTTATCAGAGATTGTCTCTGTTCCCCTTTTATCAAAATAGTTTAAAAGCTCTGGTTTCATTTGTAGATTGACGAGGAGATTCTCCAAGAAGTTATCAATATGGGATTTGACAGAAACCTCCTCATTGAGTCTCTCCGCAGCCGTACCCAAAATGATGTAAGTGTTACTCTCAGCCTCTTGTCCATTTGCTATTGCTTCTTTTATTCAAAGGCGAAAAATTTCAATCGTGTCTTAAAATATTCAATTGTTGTCGACTGCTGTTTAACAGGGCACTGTGACATACTATCTGATATTGGACAACCGGTTCCGTGCCTCTGCTGGTTATCTCGGTGCCGAGTTTCAAGAGACTATGGTGGGTCTTGTTTTCCTTTTTTAACTGTAGCAAGAGAGATGTTTGAAGTAATCCTTGAATGTGTAATTTAATCAGGAAGGTACTCCGCGTATGCATCCAGGAGAAAGTGTAGCTTCACCAGGTAGCCATAGGCTTCCAGGACTGATGGAATTCCAAGGAGTTGGCTTGAGATCTCAATACCCTGTTGAGAGAAAATGGGCTCTTGGACTTCAGGTCTTGATCCCTTTTTTTTTCTCTTAATTTTTGCTTTGTAATGATTTCAAGCTTTCGCTATCTCTCTGTTTAGTTTGATTGATAATTCAAAACCATTGGATCCAACAGTCTAGGGCTCATCCACGTGAAATAATGACAGAGGTCCTGAAAGCCCTGCAAGATCTGAGTGTTTGTTGGAAGAAGATAGGGCCTTACAACATGAAGTGCAGATGGGTTCCTAACAACTCAGATGGAATGCTCAGTAACTCGATGCAAGATAACAACTACTTTGGAGATGACTCCAGCATAGTAGAGAGCGACGCAGCTGTTAAGTCTCCTAATGTTATCAAGTTTGAAATTCAGGTGAATCCTCTTCTTGATAAACACACATTCATATGACTCAATATGGGGGTTAGGCGCGTCTCACTCTGTTTTTGATGTTTGTTTAATGTCCGAGGCCATTTGTAAGTGGAATAGAAGTCTAGAACTAATCTTGTTTCAGTTCATATAACAGTATGAGAATCTCTGGGGCTGATGGTGTTTGTTGTTGATGGTGAAACAGTTGTATAAAACACGGGACGACAAGTATCTGCTGGATCTGCAGAGAGTACATGGTCCACAGTTCCTGTTCTTGGATCTATGTGCTGCTTTTCTTGCTCAGCTCCGAGTCCTCTGAATAACCAAACCGGACCGCTTCAAGAATAATTCCCACTTCCCTTTGTTTCTCCTCCTAAGAAATATTCACTAAGACATTAAAAGTTAACTTCTTTCAGTTTCTTTTTTGTTTTTCGGTTTTTTGGACTCATCTAAAGTACCTCGTTTAATTTAAAAATGTAAGACAGGGCAATTCGCGTAAAAGAAATAACCAGGAGGTGCTATGTACATAATTTGTAGCTTAAGTTTGTCGACTTATATATAGATATTTGTAGCCATTTGTAAACTTGATTTGATGACTTGCACGTTGAAATAAGTTAAGGGTGCCGGCAAAAATCTCCAAGGGTGAACATCACAAAGCATGAGGGAAGTACTGTCGATGAAACTGGAGAGGCTTAGGTCGTCAATGCATGAACCATTCACAACCACAACTCCACGTTATCTATATAGCGAGAAGAGGAAGAAACCATGGAAGCAAAGCAAGGCATGTAATCGTCGAACAATACGTGGCTGTACCTAACAAACATGGGTGACCACCGAACATGATATGTGTACAATAAGCAAACGTGCATGTATATATATGCAAATGAACTTTTCAGACCATATTGGTTTGTTTTTGACAATTTTTAAAAAAAAATTATGGACTACACATGATGATGCCAAGTGAAGATATATATGACATTTGCTAACAGTAATACTGATGAATTTTCTTCCATTTTTAACCTCTTTCTATTCTCGGAGGTCTTCGAACATCAACTCTGGCATCACTTTCAGTCCTCCGTAGTATCTCATTCATCCCATTAGTTTGAAAAATCTTAGGATTAGCCCCAGCATTCGTTAAACCCTAAAAGATATCGTCATACAATCAAATTAAGGCGCCAAATCATGAAAAACAATACCAAATTCAAATTGACTCACCATATCTTTATCCGACTTCTTGTAATGCACGCCAGGGAACATCAACACGTCAGAGGAGTCTAGAGAAACGTGTGGCCTAAGAAAGCTCGGTTTGTCTTCATTTATTGTTAATCCAAAAGTGTTCTTAGCAAATGCCATGCTCATACCACTGACATGACTCGCAGATCCTGCAGGATGGTTGTAAGTCAGCGTTGAAGCTGCGTCGTTTTCTTTCCTCTTCTTCGTCCCAGCCCATGCAAAACCGCTTGCAGGAGCCGTGGTTTGAGATAAACCGGTGTACGGAAACTCACTTCGAGTCGTCGCTTGCGATGTCTCTGATGGTGTCTGGACAATGATTTCTGTCCCGGCTTCCTTCTTAGCTTCCTACGAAAACAATTATAACCAAATTACGAATAAAGAACCGGGATTTTGATGCATCGGTTTAACTTTATGAAATTTCTATGAGGGTGGCTTACTGAAAA